CGTTTGACAACACTAACCGCTGTATGGAAACAGCTTTCCCGGTTTCAAATACATGTTTCTATCAAGCGAAACAGTTTAAAAATATATATATAATAAATATATAAATAATCTCTTGTCGAGAGAAGTAGCGCCAGTTTCAATTAAGGTGATAACCGCCGGAAGTGACGTTTCTTAATGCACCTAAAGCTGGTTGCCAACCGCCATTAAAAACCAGCAGAAGAAGAAGTAGAAGTGACGTTTCTCTTTGCTTGGTGAAAGTGAAGCAACAAATATAAGCCTATATTTAAAAGTTGGAAATTTATTTATTTAGTCAAATTATCTGATATAATAAGTCCGTTTCGGAGACGTGTCACACTACAAACTAAATAATGTGGTAAACTGTAAAATATCCAGCTGAATACTTTAGTCCTGCAGGAGAGCCAAAGCATGCTTTGCACTTACTGCTGCCCCCTTAAACATATTCTGTTTGTTAATTTGAGTTATCTTGTAAAATGTAGAACTAGTGATCATCTAACTACTAAGCTGACAGTAGCTAAAAACAGAGGTAAGCTGCAGGCTTAGGTTTTTAAGCTCAACTTAGAAGCAGCACTTTCGGGCAAAGTCATTTATCTTCAGTGTTACTATAATGCAAAACAATGCAAAAAATCCAGTTGTGACTAAATCCCCAATTTCTTTGTCTTTTTTTTTTTTTGTGGCCAATTGGTTTAATTTTGCGCACTTTCATGTGTGCCTACAGTACTGACACCATGCATCAGTGATTCAGCGCCCCACTTAGTGTACGGCCTAAAAAAGCTATGTTAATTTGGCCGAAGAAAAATTCAACCTGTGTTCTATCTACAGTTTCCTCAGTTGCTTGTCTGACTTGTCATACTGACTTGATGTTGCATGTGCATGAGTGAAAAGAAAAAGAGACATGAGATTTACAAATAAACAAATCGTAATGTGTTGTGACAGTTTTGCTTTTGTGGTTCTTATTCTTTATATCTGTCCAAATACCCACTAACACTGAGTTAAACAACAGTAAGGTTTGTTTTGACATACAGAAATGATGGCAAGGTCTCGTCAAAACCTTCAACTCCAGGTGTTGATTAAAGCTAAAAAATTAAGTTGGTTTCAGCAAATTAAAAGCTACTTCTTTTCTGTGTTTAGTTTTTTATTCCTTTGTCATTCATGCCTTATGGATTGTAACTGAGTAAAAGCCAAATTTGGGTCCTTTGTCAGAGCGATTTACAATCTAGTGATGAAGTTACCACAGTAAAGCTTCTTCTGTTCCTATCATCTGGTTCTATAGCTCTAAGCCGTCTTAAGTCTGGCTCTCTACATTGTAGCTAACCATATCCATCCCTCAGCCCTTCTGTGACAATGGAGCTGCAGAGCAGCAAAGACAAAGCACTCATCACCCATCTGAGGTCTGCATGTGTCCATCTGGAAAAGACATTGCAGGTTGTAGGGGCAACTGGAGGATCTCGCTTTCTCTCTTTCTCAAAATGCCTCCCAGACCTGGTGGTGTTTGTGACAGGCCCTCTCCTGGTGAGCTAGTCTCCATGATGAATGGCCACCTTTCCATTCTTTATCGCCCCACTAAATCATGTGCTTACCATGCTTTTATGACCGATTTTTGCTGCTTTGTTTTACTTTCCATCCATTTTTTTGAATGAAACTCCAAAGGATGTGGTTTAGTTGTTTTTGTCCTCTACCTAATATTAATCTTTCAGGGTTTATCATTGCATTGGTATTCAGGTGAAGATTTGAGATCTAGCCATATGAATCAAATTCACTGAGACAAATGTGTCAGACTTTGCTTGGACTGGAAAATGCAGCAAAAAGAATGCTCTCATCTGAAGAGCAAATGTTTTGGGAATATTTCATTTTATTCATTTACTGTTCTAACATGTTATGCAGCTCTCCTGTCTTCTATACCCACTGAATAATAGCTTGACAAGTAGGCAGGAACATGTCTACTGTAATTCTCAAAAAAGCATACATAATTTATATGTGTGGTTCACACATGGAGGTGATAAAACCCAAAGGCTGCCAGGGAGACAATGCATCAGGACAGGCAAAAGGGCCTGAGAAGAGACCTGAAGTTTGCTCTGTATTTATGAATGTCCTGGTTTTAATATTTAGTTTTTTGTGTGCCACTTTACAAACGTAGAGTTTAACCATTTTTACCTCAGCCACCAGTTTTAGTTAGTGTTATTAATGTAGGTAGAGTGTGAATTCTGCCATGTATCCCTGAAACAAAAAATGGTATGAGTTCACTGATCTTGCACAGTGTAATTATTCAGTCACAGCAGTTAGTGACACCCTTAAAATAAAGTAATTTGCTTATCAACAAATTTCAGATCTCAGATTACATAGTCTTGGTGTTTAGCTTTTTTCCTCTATGATATTGTCTTTCTGCAGTTATTGTTGCCCTTTTTGTAACCGTTTAATCTTATTATTTTTTTCCTTTACTAGCATTCACAATATTAGATAGCAGATAGGAAATGAGAGAAGGAATGACATGCAATAAAGGTTCCTGCGGTAGCGAAACCTGAACTGGGGATGTTACAGTTACATTGTCAGTGCTAATCTGCAAGTCCACCATCACACCTCTGCACTGACTTTTTAAAGTGGAATGAATATGATAAATAATTGAATAATAGAAATAAAGTAAACTCATTAAAATGTATTGGTGGTAAATTACTAAAGATGAAAGAATACATTCAGCTGACTTAAAGCTGAACACCAATTACAGTAGAAGTGTTGGGGTTACAAAGAATAATAATAGTAATATTCATAATATGAATGTATAAAAGACACATAACAAGTCTGTCAAACAAATGAAAGTAGGCCTTCTGGAAAATCTGTACCCAGATATAAGATATACTGGGAATACTTGTAAGCTAACAATGGTTCATGGAGGACAATTAAACATGATGATGTCAACACATCTTCATTATGTTTCATTAATCTAATTATGTTTCATTTAATATTAAATAAATCAAATGCTTATTTAAAATACATAGTTATGTTGATGATGACACTTTTTGATTGTGTAGTTCAATAAGGCAAAAATAATACAGTTTTGGAACCCACAATAAATATAAAAAGTACTTTATAACTACCTTGATGATGCAGCGCTTTAAGCTCCTACATGGGTTAAGACAGAGGCAGGTTTGGCCAGATGCAGTGTACTCTGTCTCCCCCTAGTGGGCAGATAAGCTCTTGTCTTGTCTTTTGTTCTGAATGACGTTCATCTGTGTGACCGAATTCCTTATCCATGGGGACTCCATTAACACAGGTAGACTGACTTAAAGGTAACATTTTGGGTGTAATTGATTAATGTTATTGTTTAAATGTAGAAACTAAATGTGTAAGAGTTGGAAAACATTTGTAATTTATGGCTATGCTTTTGTATTTTCTGTAGTTCAGAGTACAACATTTTTACCTTATAAATAATGTTTTTAGATTCACAAGCTAGACAATCAATATTCATGGGTCATTTTAACCCTTCCCTGATTTAGTCTCACAGATCAGAAAAGCCTACTCTGCAGTGCTCTTATAACTTGAAGGTTTTTATGATCTATCAATCATCTAAACCAAGCTTGAGTGTGTGAGCCACTGCCAGGGGAGGTCTGACCTGCGGCCTAGCGTGACATTCAAGAAAGGAGTGTTACTCACCCAGGAAATCTCATTACAACAAAGTATGATGGATATCCGTACTGGGAAAGCTCATATGTGGTCTGACATATAATTTGTTATAATTTTTTTTTAAATTGTATGGCCACACTCACCTTTATCCCTGTCTTTTACATTTCAAAACTCCATCCTTATACACACTTATATGCCTAAAATCTAGAAAACACCATTGATCTGTCTTGTATTGTATTTGAGCTTGTAGTGAATTGACAATTTTAATGAAATTAAATTTTAAAATTGTGATTGCACAACACTGGATGTTTACTAGATATGCAGCCTTGCATCTACAAATGCGTAGTGTAATGTTGTTTTCCCATAGCCAAATCACACCATAACTCTGTACCACAAACAACAGTTTGTTACACAACATTTATTATAAGAATGCAGACCAGAGGTTTTATCTGAGGCTTAAAGACATTTGTTCAGTTTCAGTTTTTAAAAAACAGACAACCAAAATATCTTGCATGCAGTACTCATGTTAAATGAATCACAGGGGTATACTGTAGATGAGATTTATATGTAGCAAAGATATGATGGCATGTTACTTCTAGGCAAAGGTGAACACAATTAAGCAACTAAAATACTCTTTCTCAACATCATGGAGACAAATAAACAATGACCAAAAAACAACAAATGTCACTTGTACCCTCTGCAGTGAGGCATGGTATTACATCACTTACCCCAAAACTAGAGGCAAAGGTTATTCAAGCATTATCTGCAAAAGCTCCCACTTTGTTTGTGTGTGCTAGCACTCTCTGTGCCATATTGATCGTCCAAGGTCAGAGAGTGCCATGTAAATTTTAGCTAAAATTCAATTTGATCTTTCACTTTATTGACTTTTTTTGATTACATCTGGTTTTTTTATTTAAAAAATCTAGCCATATATTATAACTCATAAGTCAAGTGATCTGTTTTTTGTCCTCACCGTCAGTTTTGTTTATCTATTTCTGAAGTTTCTCCCTTATGCTTTCCAATAAGAAACATAGACAAATTTCAGTCAGCAGTGGACTATCACAGAGCAGCTCTTCAGCCCACCACAAGAGCGTTAGAAATGACATATTAAAGAAGACTAACACCTGTTGAACGGATCAAGGAAACAAAAACAAAAGCTGCCAAATACGGTGAAGAAGAAAAAGTAATGGGCTCACACATGGGAGACCTGCCGAGAGAGAACGCTGAGCTGAATACGTGATCTGGAAGCTGCAGTCAATACTGGGGGAGTTTTGCATATCAACCAGTTTCAAAAACCTTCTAAACATAGAGCCTCACCAGAACCATGAAGCTTACTTGGACTAACATTAAACAGGAGGACAACCACTGCAGGACAGACACTGAGCACATAAACAACATGATGGTGATACCACTGCAAAGAAATACAACAGGTATGACGATAACTTTATATAGTTCCCATTATGGTCTCATGTCCTTTATAATCTCTGTCATGATTATTATTAGGGCTCTGCCGAGCTGAATCAGGCTGCTTCCTTGCCACTTTAAATGAAACAGCTTTACCAACATACCACTCTTCAAATCCAGATAACTGCAAGGCAAATGTATTCTAATCTCTTAATTCAATCTAACTGATCTTTGACCACAGAAAGCCTTTTCCTTGTTAAATTGTAATCCCTAGCTGCTTCATCTCCCTAAACTAAGTATGCAATTTACATATATTATAGCCTGGGGTTTGTACAGTACAAGCATCAGTGCAGGAACCCTGCACCAAGAATGTGTATTTGACAGTCAGTGTTTTTAACGAGACACGATCCTGCAGCAATCAAACACTGGCAGGATGCAGCTTAGTGCAACATGGAAGGAGACTGAATTTAAACAGAGTGCCCAATGTAAAATTAGCCAGAGGAGAGTAGTGGACTTTGGCTCGCCACTGACCTGTAACTACTTTAATTAAATGGGGAGTTTCCACTTCCTTTCGAGTAATAAGTAGTAGTGCTCCTCTGAGGCCTATGGCACTGGCAGCCACGCAGCGCAGCCACATCTGTACATGTAACCTTACTTTTATTATCATCACCCCTACTCCTGCCAGACCTACGAAACAGTGCCCAAGTGAATCCTAAGTAAGTTCACCTTCAACGCCTTGCTGCGAAGTTATACTCTTGTACAGTTATTTCTCTTCACAGAGGTGGAATAAGATTCATTATATGCCTTCACTGATGAAAGGGATCATGAATGACTGTTTCTGCCAAGGTGTCTGTCTGCTCTTAGCAAAGCTAATGTTCTCTCAGTGGGTGATCTGTCTCAGATACTTAGGAAGCTTGTTAGCTCCAGAGATATTTATTTATTCAATAGCAACTAAATAAAAGGGGTCTATGTCTTAAAGGTCATAGAGAATCCCACTCCCCCACAATGCTAATGTCCATCACTTGTCTCCAGTTCAAACATTTTCCCAGGCATTTTCATTGTATACTGTAATATTTTTGTTTTATCAGACATCTGTTTCTACCATCTTTAAATTGACAGATTCACAAGTGTCTGCACAGACCTCATCACTGTCACAGCCTGACAGAGGTAAGGCTCTGTGTTCTATATGTGCCGACAGAGCCACAGGTAAACATTATGGTGCATCCAGCTGTGATGGTTGCAAGGGCTTCTTCAGGAGGAGCATTCGCAACAACCACACTTACAACTGTAGGTGAGTTTGATCATCGATTCTCCTCAGAAGAAGAGATCATTAACAACACCACTGTATTCATTTTATATAGCGATATAAATAACAACAAAGTTGAGAATTTAAAAAAAAGAAAATCACTCAAGTTGAAATGGGAAGTTGGTTTGTGGTGTTAAAGGTATCACCTATTGTAAAGTAGGGTGAGGAGATGTACTGTATCACAGAGGAAAACAGGAAACTTCACCTTGAATATTCAAAATGTAAAACTGTGTCTGCTTTGGAAAATATTAAAAGGGAACCCCACCTATATTTTTCAGGTTCAACAGGCAGTGTATTGTGGACAAAGACAAAAGGAACCAGTGTCGTTCCTGCAGACTCCAAAAGTGTTTCAAGGCTGGAATGAAAAAGGAAGGTCAGAGAAACATTTGCTACATATCCCCTGAAGCAGCGTTCTTTTTATATTTAATACTATGCACTGTCAGTCTTGAAATTCTAAATATGCAATTAAAACACAAGAGCCTGCATAATGTTTTACATACGTATATATGTATGTAAAAATTGATGTTTCACCATATAGCATTTACATTTAAAACAGGTCTACCTCTAGAAAAAAATAAGGATATCAAGGTGGTTCAATAGAGAAAGAGATATTTTTCTTCCACTCAGCAATGTATGCATGTTTGTTTATGTGCTCGTTTGCCTTATATCTCCCATTGACTACCACAGATAGGTACAGAGAAAGAGATGCGATCAGAAGGGCCTTGAATAGTCTCTACACATAAATAATTAACAAGGCTGAGCATAAGCAAATATTTGCTCTGCAGTTTTCTGGAAAGATGTTGCTCATTGCCCCTTGAAGTGAAGGCCAGTGCTACTAATTTAAATGTTTACTTCACTGATTTGTCTGGTTTGCATAATATGCTGTAATATCACTTTCAAATTAAGCCAGAAGTACAACTGTGGTAGAAGAAAAGCATGAAACACTACTTCGGCAGCCGGTCCCACTCCCTGTAAGTGTTTTAATCTAAATCCAGAGTCAACTGATGTTCCATAGAAGATTCATTTGTAACATTGTCATGCAGGACCATGTCAGTGGAGCACAGAGGGGGGCCTCCTGCTCCTTCTCCTCCTCTAGTTTGATTAATGCGCTCCTGATTGGTCGCTGAGAGGACAGTTCTGATGACTGATTGCTCTGACTCTCAGTCTTGTTGTCTGACTTTGTAGAGACATATTGGAATCAATCTGAGGTCATCCAGATTGCTCTGTTCATAATGAGTCTCACAGAGGAGTTATCAACACGCGATGACAGCTCCTCTGCTAATCATAAATTCCCACCATCGAGCACCCAGGCGTCCACGCCCACTTTTTATTGTCGGTGGCAAATATAAGAAGCTGCTGTCAACATTTGAATATTAAATCTACACAACAGGGTTAAAACATTACCCTCTACAGCTCTACATTTTCAGAGTATATCAGAAAAATGTTTCCCTAATGTATATTTGCTGTTTTCTCTTTGTTTGCCACTTATTTCTTATCAGTGAGAAACTTTGAGTACTAATAGAAAGGAGAGGATACATCAAACGTCAGAGGAGATTAAAGGGAGATACAGTATAACACTACAAATTCTTTCCATCAGTATTATAAATAAGATTTCTGGTCATTATTTTTTTTACTCTTAAATCACTGTTTTTGTATGCCCAATATGCATCATAAAATGTTAACAAAAATGTAGGTTTCATCGTGTTGCAACATTTCAATACAGAGTACATGCTGTACTTTTCTACCCATTCATATCAATTCCCCATTTATTCCCCATTTGAGACTATGACATTTAATTACACCACACTACTTTACACCCTGAGACAAACAGACTTGAATCCCCAAACAGAAGGAGACTTCAGGAGACAGGAGATTTGTTGTTGTTTTTTTCTCTAATTTCTGCCACATTTGCAAAATAGGCAACATTTGGCATTGCTAATGTTGCTATGAACAGTAACTTCAATGTCACAGAGGACAGAGGGACCTTGTGCAAGGAAAGAGAAGGTCTTTTCTTTCACAACATGTTTGCACTCAAGGTGAGAAAAAATGTGGAGTGATGTCTGGAGAAGCCAAGAAACTTCTCTGATGGTTCTTTCCTCTCCTTAATCTCCAGCTGTTCAGAATGAGAGAGACTGCATCAACGGCCAGAGAGCCAAAGGCCCCCAAACACTGGGCACTCTGTCCATCAGCGTGCTGCTGAGGGCAGAAGCTAGTGTGCACCAGGTAAAAAAAACGTTGCTACAGATTTCAAATACAAAGTTCTGTGACCGAAATAGGCAGTTATATTTCTCATATATAACAGCAAAAGGACACCTTCTTTGTTTATGGAAATCATCTAGATGAAGGTCAAAGACAAAGAGGATATGGGTTACATTTCAGACAGGCAGCCATTAGCAGCAGGCTGGATTCAGTTACTCTTTAGAAATTACAAAATTGCAGAGGAGCCTCATCTACTCATAGCCAGTTTAATTGCACCACAAGGTCTCGGATTGGGTGTCAATGTTCAATTACCTTGAAATGCATAATAACAACCAGATATATGCTTTTGCATGTAAGAGGAATGCACTGAAATAACTTAGAAAAAATTAACTGCTGTTTCCATGATCATCATGTGCTCTCCATCCAGCAGTGTTTACCGCTGATCCATTAAAAAAAAAAAAACCTCCTCTGCTGGCCTTGTCTTGCTTTAACCTTTACACACTCTCACCAAAGTGCTCATACACTTAGCAGCATCATCACCCACCTCATTTATTCCCCTTCCCACCTATATACTCATGCAACTTTTTCTAAAGTTTATTCCCAGACTCCAGCATCACCTGAGTCCCAATGGGAACTCACATTATGTTTTGCTGCTCTCAGCTCTCAGCACTGGTCTCACCTTGGTGCCATGACTTCCACACCAAGAAGACAGCATGTATGGGAGACATGTTTGAGTCCATGAAGCAGCAACTCCTCCTGCTGGTGGAATGGGCGAAACACATCCCTGAGTTCTGCAGCCTCCCATTAGATGACAGGGTATGAAGGGGACTGAATATCTGAAGAGCTAACATATGCCTGTCCATGCAGAATGAAGTAACTGTAGCTGAATTTTTTTAACCTGGGCTCAATGAATGTTTACATTTCACAGTTTAGGTTAATGTTTTGGCTGACTGGCAATTTGCATTTTACAGTTGTACAGTATATGATGTCTATGCATGCCTTTTTGCAGGTAACCCTGCTACGAACCCACTCTGCAGAAAATCTTATTCTAGGCGCAGCAAGACGCTCTCTGCCCTACAACAATCTCATTCTTTTAGGTATGACAGATCAAATGGGTTGTGTGTGTGTGTGTGTGTGTGTGTGTTTATTTCATTATTCAGTTATGTGCCTAAAAAAGCAATTCTTTTTAAGTTTTGCATGCATCTACATTAATCATGCTAAATATCTTGCATAACAGTGGATATGTCTATTGAGCAGGTAACAACTTTGTGATCCCCCTGAGAGGTGCAGAAGTGGAGGTGTCTAAAGTGGCTTTCAGAATCCAAGAGGAGCTGGTAAAACCTCTCAGAGACCTGGACATCACAGACAAAGAGTTTGCCTGCCTCAGAACCATTGTCTTCTTTGCACCAGGTCAGTCCAGTCAGTCTGTGAGACACTGACTGTGCATAGTGGCTCTGATTTTTGTTCTGCCACTTGACATCATTCATTGTACCAGACAAAGACTAACCTCTGTTTGTTTTCTTGGTCTTTTGCATCTGTAGTTTAGTCTGAGTGGTCTGGCATTAGCGTGCTTCAGGGAGATTTTCAAATAATATCAGGATGCGGTGAAGTTCTTGGCAGTCAGGCAGCGCTGCCAAATTTAATGGTCCATTTATCTGAGGCAGTCGTAGTAGATGAGGCTGGAGGACCAAAGACCCTGACAACTGAACTGGCAAAGGGAGTTAACTGCCCCACACCCCAGCAAAGGCAGCAAAGCTAGGGAATATCACACAACTTTCATTCAGAGATAATTTGTATCATCACCTAAAAATATTTTTACTTTACTATTAGTGAAAATGTATTACTATATTATTTTATATTTTGCCTGTTATGCCACACTGGTCTGTGACAAGGTTTTAATGGTCACACAAACAGGAAAATGATGAGACAATTTATTGATGTATTTTACACAGATGCATCTGTCTATCATCTATACCTCTTATCCTGAAGAGAGTCGCGGGGGCTGGAGCTAACCCCAGCTGACACTGGGTGAGAGGCGGGGTACAGCCTGGAATTACACAGATCCGAGTTTGTCAAATCTAAGTTTGGCACTCAGTTTAATAAGGTCAAAGGTCAAAGTGTTTATTTGTCATATGCGCAGTTAGGAAACGTGTTTCCCTGTACAATGAAATTCTTACTTTGCTGTTCACGTGAATGCCACAAAATACAAATGAAATATAAAGGTTTTTTTTTTTAGAGTTGTCTTTTTTTTCTTTTTTTTAAATATAAAGTAGATAAATAAGTAACATAAAATCAAAGGCACTTTAAGAAGCAAATGCAGCAGTATAATAAAAACATATAAGAATATAATAAGAGAATGTATGCTGCATGGGAGCAGCATGTGCAACAGTCAACAGTCAATGTGCAATTATGCATGAATGTAAACAGTACATGACGTATTTCCAGGTAATAAACTCCTCAGCTGTTTAGGAGTCTGATGGCAGAGGGAAAGAAAGAGTTTTTCAGTCTGGAGGTCCCGCATTTCACACTTCTGAACCTCCGGCCTGAGGTTAGGGAGGCAAACAGTCCGTGCTGGGGGTGGGTGGGATCTTTGAGGATGGAGGCAGCTTTCCTACGCACCCTGCGGTGGTAAATGCTTTGCAGAGAGGGCAGTGGAGTCCTAGTGATCTTCTCCGCAGTCTTTACCACTCTCTGCAGGTGCTTG